TTCACTTTTCAATAACAGCGAAAACTAATTAATGTCCGAGTGACACGACAAATAAATATCTGTGGGCTGGCCGCAGCAAATTGGCGACAAAAGGCACTGCAATATCATATCCCAAAGTGCTCCCCATCTATATGTGTATAATATATATACTTAGATACAGACATATAGATACAGATATCTGCGATTTACATACACGCGTATGTGCGATTTTCTGGGCTAAACAAGAATTTGCGCACTCAGCGCAGCAAGTTGGTCGAGAGCCATAATTTTGGTGCGGATTTCGGGGCGTTCGAGTTATGGGCCTGACAACTTTGATTTTCACATTAGCCGGGTGGCGGACAGGGGGCGCATTGGGCATCGGGCAGCCCACCCCCAAAACCCCCTTTTTGCGCCCCTCAAATGCGCCGCCCCTGCCAGACGTTGCCAACATTCGTATTCCAGTCAGCAGCAAAAGCCCAGACGCTTGGCGACTCGCAGACCTGGCCATAAATGCAGTAAATCATTTTACGCGTGTTTGCCAAAGGGGGAGCGGTACGAGCAGTACCCCACCCTCACTGGAGCCACAGTATAGCCAAGAGACCTGGACTGACACCTCCTCCTCCTTCCGATCTTCACCTGCAGATGAAGCTCCCCGCCTGCGCTGCCAAACAGGGCGAGTGCGATGATAACGAGGGTCCCGTCTGCGGCACCGATGGCCAAACCTATCCCACCAGGTGTCATCTGCTGCGGGCGCAGTGCGGCGGTCACCAGGTGAGCCTCAAGTACAGCGGCTCCTGCAATGGTAAGTACTTTTAGATAATCTTTTTCTTTGGCCATTTTTTAAGTCAGATGTATTCCTAAGCAATTTCAAAATCTTAAATAGCTCTTTAATTTACCCATACTCAGAAAAAAAAGGCTGTCACAAAACCGTTCTCTCGAACTCAAAAGTGAGACAAGATCCATTCAATCTCTAAAACGTTATCAAGACTACTCTAATATCTTTTTTTAAGTCGCTTCATTTTAAAAAACGAACTTGTGGGCGCTTTCGTCTTGATTTCAAGAACGTTTCTACTCGAATGAGTAAGAAGACTATTTTTTAAATTAAAAAGCTTTTTTCTTTTTTCTGTTCTCAATGCTTTTGGATGCATATAAATTGGTAATATTCAACTTCATCATTAAGAAGATTATACTTCTTATTCACTTTTTAAGACCAAATATAATCTTTAATGATATAATATGCCTTTCAAACAATCGAAAAAGTTGAAAGACTCTAATGAAACGATTATTATTTATATATTTATTTATAACTTTATCCTTAACTTACATATTTTCTTTAGACTAAACCATCTAATTCTTCTATGTTATACCATTTTAGCCTGTTTGGAGGCGGTGAAGTTCGCTCGTCGTCAGCAGGAACGTGATCCGGATTACTTTGTGCCCCGGTGCAGGAAGGATGGCAACTTTGCGGCGATGCAGTGCTACGGAAACAACGGATGCTGGTGCAGCGATAGTCAGGGTAGACCCATCGAGGATGCCACCAAGCAGATTCGGCGGAAGGGGAAACTCCGCTGCAGGGCCAATCGACGCGGTCGTCGCCGCCTGGCGTCGCACCAGATTGGCTATAATCCGGATACCTCGGCCTCCAAGGGAAGTTCCGAGGCAGGATCTACAGCCCACCGACCGTGCAGCAAATCCGATCGCTTGCTGTTCAACACTAACCTTATGCGCATGTTCCGAAACGAGGCTCAGAGCTTTTTCCGCCAGCCATCTCTGTCTGATTCCCATATCCTGGAGTGGAAGTTCTCCAAGCTGGACACGAATGGCAACAAGTTGCTTGACCGCCAGGAGGTTAGAGAACTGAAGAAGGTGCTCAGGCGAGTAAGTAATTTGATTCTTTGGTCCGAATGACCAATTAATCCCTATCGATTTTTGTTAGAACGTAAAACCTCGTCGATGTGGACGCACCTTTGGGAAATACTGTGATGTTATTAAAGATTCCAATCTAAATTGGTTGGAGTGGAGCATATGTTTTACCAAGGAGTTTCATAACCGTGAGTATAACTAGATTAAATGGAATGGGGATAAGAGATGTAGCATGTTAAGGGCTCAATTACATCAGTTCATTAATGGAACTCTACAATATCAGGTCCTTTAAAAATGGGAATCTTTATTTATTCGTCATCTGAAGATTTGTATTTCTCTAATTCCATTTGCATTGTTAATAAGACTTTTTGCCTAAAATACAAATTTAAAAGTTTTCGCATTAATAATTCCGTTTAATATTTATAGTATCTTTAACAAGAATTCAGTATTCAGGTACTCTATAGGTCATGTACTCATTATAATCTCTAAACCACTAAAGGTATTATTACTTAGGCAAGGCCTTGGTTTAGATAGATTACTAACTTCGGCAGCATGTACTTGGATTTGACAAGCGGGAAATCATGATCCATCTATCCCAGTTTCTAAACCATCTCCTCCCATTTGTGTGTCATCTAAATCCAGGTAGTGCTGTTGTAAATCTTCTGGCAAGCAGTGCGGCCACCGCCCCACCCCATTCCACCCACTATAATATCCACAACACGAACGTCAATGACCATCACCGAGGTCATACCAACACCATCGTCAGTGGAAGCAGTCCGCACACGTACTCCGAGGACGCGAGTGGCAGTGAGGAGCACGAGGACAACTACGAGGACAGCGGGACGGGCTACGGAGGCGAAGAGGACGATTCTCAAGGATCGGATCTGCCCAGCTCCCGAACCCACATCCCATCATTATATAGTACGTAGATTTGTATGCCAGCTAACCAAATTCCAAATCGTTTTGATAATGAAAAGTTTAATCGATCTTAAGAATTTTGGAACCATTTTCAAAAACGTAAAGTTCTTATCCTATCCTATATTTTCATTATATAGTATGTTGACTTGTGTGCAAACTAACCAATTTCCAAATCCTTATTATAATGAACCACTTTCCAAAACATAATGTTCTTATCCATTTGCATTAAACTGCATGTCTGCATTTTTTAAGAATGAAATAAGATCCGATTGACCCTCATATCATATAATTTTCCTTCTGTGTTCATTATTATTCTGCATGCTTTCAAAGGGCAGAATAAAATGTATGTTAACGCGCAAATCTTTACAGTGCTCAACTCGAAGCCAGAGGCGGCCAGTCAGGACATAGAGAATGACTCCAATTGCTGGATGGATCAGTCGGTGACGCTGGAGGAGCAGGGTGTAAGCTATGCCACATTCTCTTAAAGGAAACTTTTTTTAAATTTTATATTACTTCACAGCACGGTGGAAAGAATGTGTTGTTTGTGCCCCAGTGCCTGCCGGATGGTCGCTATCAACGCATCCAGTGCTACTCCTCCACATCCACCTCGTACTGCTGGTGCGTCAACGAGGATACGGGCAAGAGCATTCCGGGCACATCGGTGAAGAACAAGCGGCCTCAGTGCGACGAGAGTGTGGTGGTGCGACCCATGAAGGGATGCACTGAGCCGCGGAAGACGCAGTTCCTCAAAGAACTGAAGGCCTACCTCAACACCTCGCTCCTGCCCAGCAGTACCACCGGGTAGGTCTATTTCCTTTTAAAAAGATTATATTTTAAGCAAATTTAAAACAATGTTCTTCAGATCTACTCATATTTTTACAAACTTATCCTATTAAAGACGCTTATATGAAAACGAAAGATATTATAGGCAGCTCATCTACTTTAGGGTATTATTTAAGAAAGGAGTTCTAAAATGTGGCTCTATATATAGTGTATACACTAAAACTGTTCTTTAAATAGGCTTCTTTGTCTTCCAAAAGAAACATATATTCCAGTTTTAATAATAACCTAATATATTATTATTGATATAATCTATCGAAATATAATAAAATCCTTATTATGGCACTTTGCAGCAGCAATTCCACCATGTGGAAGACGGATGACGAGCGGATTGCCACGCTGAGCTTTGTGTATCTGGACAAGAACAAAAACAAGTCATGGGATCGTAGGGAGTGGAAGAACTTCCGCGATCTGGTCACCAGTGCCAGGTGAGTCACCATTGTCTATCCATATATATCCCTATCCCTAAATATCATCCCATCCAACAGCAACTTGCGCAGGTGTGGCAAGAAGATGCCGCGCTACTGCGATGTCAATGGGGACAAGAAGATCTCGCTGGCTGAGTGGCTCAACTGTCTGCAGGCAACCCCGCGGGAAAGTGCCACCACAGCCAAGCCGGCACAGTCAAGTGGGTTATCCTTACCAAAAAAAAAACTAGGCTCAATACTGACTTAAGACAAATTCCAGATGAAACGGCCAGTCCAAAATTCCAGGGGGTTAATCCGGTGGAGCGATATCTGAAAGATTAATTGGGAATATCGATTCCCTATCCGTGCTGCTGCTACTACTACTCATTAGATGTCGTCGTGCCATGACACACACAAAACCACACGAAAACACATCCTACACATCAACAATAGGGTGGGTCGATTTTTTGGATTAACTCTGAAAATGTAGGCATATTTGCAGTTCTATTTTTTTTCTTAAAGAAATATAATTTCTTAATGGAGTTTTTGAAGATCCTTATTAAAAGAACAATACGATAAACCTTAATTTATAATTTTCGCCATTTTTTTATATTTTAAGCCTTTCATTTTTAAGATTTTTGTTTCATTTTAATCACAAAACAATGGTACAAGAGACTTAATCGAATATGTAACACACAAAAATGTAAAAATGCAACAATACTGGAATATCTGATAGTTTGTATGTCATTAACTGGATCAGTTAGGTTTTTACTGTTAAATTGTTTGTCTATAAATTATACATGTTCTTTGGTTCTAAGAAAGTTTTAATATCTAAGCCCAGAATATGTGGTCCATAAAATCGATTCACCCTTACGCTCACCTACACACAGACACATTCCTAGCATTAGATTCTATAATTTACATGTGTATGTTACTAATTCTTAATTAGTGTTGTAAATATTATCGGACATAAATGTTTAAGCTTAGCTACAAGTTTGGTTAAATCGGTTTTAAGGCTAGTGATGCTTTGCGCTAATCACATCCCAGTGTATTAAGCGCAGTGGCAGCTTTTTGATGTCGATTTCCTCCCACGGGATAACTCGTAGCAACTGCTTGGCGGTGTAGAAAAGCAAGAGGATCACCAGCGTGGTCACCTCCATGATGACGAAGTGGGATATGGACGTACCGATATCCAGCCAGGAGCCCTGGTTGCGCACCAGGAACAGGAAGTTTAGGCCCATCACATCGCAGATGAGCAGCAGGCAAATGAAGATCTGTTCCTCATGCTGGCGCACAAACTCGCTCTGGGCATAGACCACCGCCATGACCAGGATCACCGGCACCAGAAGCTTCAACAGCACCAGACCCATGATCACAAAGGGTGCAAAGTGGCTGAGGTAGCAACGAGCGATGTTCGGGTCAAAAGAGCTGATCGAGGCTATGTTGCCGGATCCGAAAAGCGAAAAGAAAGTGTACAGCAGCAGGGTGAAGGCCAGTCGAAGCACTGACCTCTCAGCCTGGGCATTCTGCGCCCTCAGCGAGAGACCCAGTTCCAGGGCCAGCAACTGGACAAACACAGCTTCGTAAGAGGTACATAGTGTTGCGTACAAGGATCCCAGATTAAAGCTTATCTGGGCTAGACGTTGCTCCAGTCTTGGTTCCTTGCTCATCACAATGGAGGTGAAGGCGTATATCAGGAACATCCAGCTACATAATTTGATAGGAATCGGAGTCTTCCTTCCGATTGAGTGAAGATAAGCACACACTATGGTTTGCAGCAGGATCAGGGCATTGCAGTATTTGGTGTGATTTTTGTAGCTTAATCTCGCCCTCGTATTCCAAAGTGAGTTTATGAGGATCGTAATAACTCCAGCTGCTAGCAGGTATCCATTCTGATAACCCACTGACAAAGGCAGCAGGGGAAAGCAGGCCAAGACCAGGACCAATGCCAGCCACGAGAAGAACTCCCTGGACTTTGGTGGGAAGCTAGACCAACCATTGTAGCAGGCGAAGACAAAGAAACCAAGTGAGATCAGGCGGCGCTCGAAGAAGGTGAAGACCATCAGTTCCGCGCAAGCAATGATCAATATGAGCTGCCACATAGTGGTCTGCAGGGCGGGAACACTGTACGCCGATGCTGGCGAGGAAGAGAAGTTGAGGTTCCAAGGCTGCAAAGCCTTCAGCCAGACGCAGTTCGGGAGCAACAGGTAAAAGGATATATCCAGCGGTGTTCGTTGGCTTAGCAGACAAATCACCAGCAGGACCACATAACTTCCCAGGCTTAGTCTTACCAGCTTTGTGCTCTTCTCAAGGATCAGCTCCACTTTGCTAGCCCTGTTCCTGGACAGCAGGCGGTACAGGTAGAATATCCATCCCAGGAAAGTGGAAGTGGTGCTCAGTAAAAGCGCTCTACGGTAATATCCATGATAATAATCGATTCCTTCAAGAGCTTGCGACATGATGACTTGACTCTTCGCTATAGAATGTAAGTACTCTCTCTTCTTGTGCAGTTTTAGGATTCCTTCCTTGTATGTCTTGATTGCATCAGATGGGAGAACTTCGAACTCCGATAAGACTCCTGCGAAAAATCCTTTTTTGTGCTGCTTTTGGAGAGCTGCATACTGCTCCAAAAGCTGCAGAGCGTTCAAATGGGCAGACATGGCCTCGTACTCCTTGCTGGCGTTCATGTAGCCCACGGGCAACGTTCCAAAGTTGTTCATGGGCGGTGGGAGACCCACCAACGCAGACATCAAGGGTGTGAGCTGCGCTTGCTCCAACTCGTACATCGGCATCGCAGGACCTTCGTTGTTGGGCATAAATGTCCGTCCTCCAGGATTGGGAGCCGAGCGGGAAACTCCGGCGCCCCAGAGGATAAAAGGAGTGTCCGTTTCATGGGGGGAACCAGCGCCATGGGCACCTATACGAAGATACATTTAAATACAAGTTTAAGATCGAGCAATGCCTTGGTTGCATACCCGAGTCAGTCATTCCATGATCAGCGGTCATCAAGTAGGCAGTTCTCTTGTCCGGAAACACCCGCTCGAACTCCTTGTAGATTTTGTAAACTCCTTTTTCCGTCTTATCCACTGTTTGGCGAAACTTTGGCGCCCCCGGCTTATGGACATGTCCGGCGGTGTCCAGTCCCAGGAGGTGCAGAAAGAAGACCACGTTCTTGGCGTGCTGCAAGGATTCGCCCTTTCGCTGGAGCAGGAACCTGACCCGCTTGAACACCCACTCGTCCTGCTCATAGGCATCGTAGCCCGGCGAAAAGTCCAGCTCGTGGTCGTAGAAGCGAAAGTGCATTTTCCCGCTGCCGGACAGATGGGAGAACACACTGATTACATCTTCGGCGCCCCAGGCGTAGGTCTGTGCGCTACGGTTGAACACGGTGTCAAAGTCAATGGGGTTCTTCTTCCAGCCACGCAGCACGGCCGATGGATCCTCGTAGAGTCCGGCGATCAGGGTAATGTGTCCCGGTCTGGTTTCTGTGGGTACGCGGGTGCGGGAAATGCCCACCAAGCCCTCGCGCAGGAAGATCTCACGCAGGTGCGGCACATAGCGGCAGTTCTCCTCGAAGAAGGAGTCGGCGCGGAATCCATCGGTCACGATCAGCACCAAGCGATTCGCCGGCGCCTCCAAACCATAGTACAGAGGATGCTTCTGCGGAGTGAGGCCAGTGATCACCGGCGAGCGGAAGTAGATCACGAATATGGAGCCCAGCAGCAGTACGTGGATCACCAGGGCGTAGGCAATCCACATCTCGGCCGGAATATAAATACTTGGATTTGTTTTCAAATGCCAATCAGCTGTCAGATGTATCGAGTACTCGAACCCGACTGGAGAGCAGTCAGTGATGCCCGGTTCTTGGAACTAGTGGATGTAAATGTAAAATGTATACTTACATGTAAGATAGCTATTTTTATGTGTCAATGTAGGTAAACTTATTTCTATCCAGTAATTTGAGCAATTTTTGTACTTGTTTAACGACTTTTGAATCTGGAGTTAGAATGTACTGTTAGAATTACTGCTGCTGCTTTGGTACTTAGAAAACTTAAGTTATTAGACGCCAGTTTTATTTGGAAACAATTATTTTTCATAAATTATAATTATATTTAAGGTTAAAATTATTAATGATAGGTCACTGGCGCGAACAAAACCATTTTATATATAATCTAGCTACTTCTAGCATCACTGCTGCTCCGATAGTCCTACAGCTGTTCAGCTGTGTGCCATCTCTAGCTGTAAAAATGTCAGCGGCACGTTTATACGGAGGTTTTCGCCTATTTTCCTCAAGCGCCGTGCAGCGCAATGCCGTCGGTGGCAAGAGCCTGGTGGAGGCCGTGGCGGTGACCAGGAGTGGCCGCACCATTGTGGCTTGGCACCCGGACACGCCCCATCCCTACGAGAACACCCAGCCGCTGCCGAAGATCGCTGAGATTCAGAGCTCGGCGGTGGTCAAGGAATCGGCGCTGAAGACGGCGATGCAGGCCTTCAAGAGCAAGCATCCCGAGGTGGCGCGCCAGGAGCTGATGCAGCTGACGCACACGACCAAGCACCGGTGGTTTCCACGTGCCCGCGACAGGAAGGCCAAGCAGACGCCGATGGACCGGCCGTATCTGTAGCTTTCCCCAACCAGTGCATTGCATAATGTTCAAATAAATTCGTTCTCGTTTAATCCATACGCTGGCGCTTGATAAATACATTGAGCAGATCGGAAATTGGAATGTCTGCGGGCGGCTGGGCAGGCGCAGGAGGTGCAGAATTGTTCCGGTGCTGCGGAAAAGTGGGCATCATGCGGGGATCACAGGCTAACAGGGCAAAATAGTTGCGTTGTTAGGGATAATCATTTGTTAACCTATGTATAAACCCAACTCACCCACTGGCGGATCCACAAAGTACTTGCTATTCAGGCATTCCTCGGCTGTGGCTCTGGTGTTTGGGTTGTAGATAAACAATATGTTCAGGAGATTCCTGCCCGATTGGCCAATCATGTGGAACTTGGTTTTAAGATTATTGTATGGCTGCTGGCTCAAGGTGAAGTTCTGCACGGCAGGCAAATCGGCAAAGCCAGGCCAAATGGACTCCGAGGGGGCTCCCAAGAGATCTATAATCATGTCCAGCTGAGCAATTTCTGAATTGCCGGGAAGGAGGGGTTTTCCGAGCAGCAGTTCACCCAGAATGCAGCCAAAAGCCCACATATCCACCGCCGTGGTATGTGTCCGGCAGCCCAGGAGCAATTCCGGTGCTCTGTACCACAAAGTAACCATTTGCGGGGTCATGGGTTTCGGTGGATTGCTGAACATACGGGCCAGGCCAAAATCAGCTGGGGATCGGAACTGGGTTAGCCAATAGTTGACATTCAATTGATTCCGTTACTCACCAACTTTGATGCATCCCTTGTCGGTCATCAGAAGATTGGAAACCTTCAGGTCCCTGTGGATCATGTACCGCGCGTGTAGGTACTTTAAGGCATTTAGCACCTGCAACGTGATACACTTGACCTCGGACTCTGTGAAAGGCTTCGCCATGTTGTCCAGCACGGACGCCAGGTCCTGTTCGCAGAAATCCATCACCAGGAAGATGCTGTCCAGGCTTTTACCCACAACCACCTCTCGCAGGCGGACAATGTTCTCATGATTACATTGCTTTAGAATCATAATCTCGCGGAGTCCGCTGACGGGAAGGCCATCCTTCTCCTGGTCCATGCGGACTTTCTTCAAGGCCACGATCTCATTGCTTCGAGTGTCACGTGCGCGATCTGTAGAGGATTGCAGGTTAACAAAGTGGGTAAACAGCCTCTTCAACCCAACTTACAAACAATTCCGTAGCTGCCCTCGCCCACGCGATTCAGCTTCTCGAACTCGGAAACAGGACGACAGCGGCCAAACTAAAAAAATACAGATATATACAAAATTCTAGAAAAGATTACCTAGATCCGTGCCAACTTACCAGATTCTGCTCGGGAATGGGCATTGGAGTGCCGCTGTTCAGCGACATGAGGAAGCCCTTACGGGTTATGGGCGCCTGGGGATCCGGAGCCGGATTGGTGTCCATATCACTCGACTTTAAGCTGGACATGATTCAAATAACCGGCATTTATTTACAAGTCAAGTTGGAAAATGTTTACAATATTGTATTAGAGATGGAGGTTCTTATCCGATAACAGCCTGCGCTTTCGATAGCCCCTTAGAACTTCTAAGGTTAATCGGTTGCGCCGTTGGCGCGCATTTATATAATTTTTGAAATCTGTTCTGGGAAAATCGCCAGCCGACAATTACCTGAAATGTATGCTCATGTTTTGTAATAGCTACTAATTGAATCGAAAACAAAGGCGGCTAGAAACGCCGGCACGACTTATGAAAGTGAAATTGCACCAGTTTAAAGAAATTTCAAATGCATGTCTTGGACATTAAACTCGTCATAGCCGCCCATACGCATGTGTGAAAATCTGCGCGCAAAGCCACCACAACGGCGGATTAATTATCACCCTGAACTTGGAGCGGTTAGCCGATGGCTGGTGGTATAAAAGCTGGATAACCGGCATCGGACTGCATCATTCGGTTCTGCAGAGACCAACCAAAGCCAAAGGGATAACAGCTTTCAATCTTCGTAACGCCGGAAAACTATAATATTATCTACAACATGCACAAGAACACCATTTGGTACGGAGCCGTGCTCTTGGTCGTATACTTCACCCTGGTCTTCTGTGAGGAGACGAAGAACGAGGAGCCACCGGCAGAACTGGATAACCAAGCGGAGGACACCTGGGAGAATCTCGGCCGGGAGCTGATAGAATTCGAGGGACGCACCCGCCGCCATCGCCACCACATGTGGTGTAAGTAAAATAAAAAAAATAGTCTAGACTTCAAAAGTGTTAAATCAGATAGTTTAAAAAAGAACTTATTGAATTGGAAATTCTTTATTGTAACCAACAATTCAAGATTACCTCTTACAAAGTTACGAAATAATAATCACTAAGAAACTTTCGGATGCAAATATCCTAACAACCTTTAGATGTTATCAAAAGATCCCAATTTATATAACAATTAGCGAGCAAGTATTACCATTATTTTGATCGTTTGAGATCAATATAATCATACCATTTGGGCGTGAACCATCTCACTTTCTTTGGAAAGTTTCCCCACAGATTTGAACCAAGCCAGACGCACCTCATCCGAATTGGACGATCACGTATTGCTCTCAATTAACACTTTTCACTTTCAATCTTGGGCATTGATATTGTTTAATACATTTTCGTGAAACCCTCTTTAAATTGTAGAATATCGAGCAGTGAAAGTTTCTCAGGTCTGATGCAATGGAAAATTATTTAATCTTCTCCATGTTTGTATATCTTCTATAACAGATCGCCACCTGTGGCCCATTGCCATTGCTTACTGGATCAAGGTGAAAGTGGTGATCGTATCCTTCTTTGTGGGCAGCGCTATTTACTTGGGTCTCCGCTACTTCTGGCCTCATGCCAGGTGCAACCAGGAGATCATCCTAGATCATCCGTGAGTGGTTTTCTATAAATGGTATATAATATTCGACAATTGACTAATATTTTTTTCGCATTTAGTCCTTCGTCTTTCTCCCATCACGATCACATTCCCTACTCCCTGGATCACGATCACTCCGATCACTATGATTCCCCCAGTTCCTTTGACTCCAGCGCCAGTTTCGAGCCCTATTCCGGCTACAGCAGCTATGCTGGATCGGACATTGTCTCCGATGTGCACGGCGACTACCACGGCGATTCTCCCTCGGGTCCAGGCCCAACTGGCCCTGTGGACACCCGTCGTCGCGGCAGGCGTAGTACCGAAGATCAGGCCCATTTGATTGAGGATGATGAGGAACAGGAGCAGGAGGAGGAGCAAGTGGAAATTGTGGATGAGGAGATTTCAGAGAGTGTGGCTCGCCAAATGCCCGCCGAAGAACAGTAAGTTAGGAATCTATGATTCACTATATTTGGTTACAATTTTATCACTTCTCTCCAGGATTGCTGACTTCATGTTCGCCTTCTTGGGTCTGGACTCCAAGGCCTGTCGTCGTCGCTTCGTCTGCGAAATGGAGTTCCGTTCCAAGTTGAATCCCATGACCAGCATGGCCTTCCGCATTGTTGGCCGAGGATTCTTCGAGAAGTACACCAATGCCAGGAACCCCGAGGACAGGGCCACCAACTTTGGCGAGTGTGCTGCCGTTAATCCCGAGTGCATCTTCGTAGAGAACGATAATCCCGAGGAGATTCCAGACACGGAAGTGCATCCAGAGGAGCAGCAACAGGAGGAGCAGGCGGCCACCGAGGAATCCGCAGTCGAGGACTCTCAGAACGAGATCAACCTGCAAGCTGAAAGGCGACATGCCAAGCACAAGAATCGCAAACTCAGCTCTGTTGCCGAGCACATCCTGACGCAGTAGAACAGCCGTGTTAAACTAATCTATTTATTTGTATTTATTTATTTTAGCTATAAGAGTGGATAACGAACACAAATTAAACTTGCCTCAATCTATGTATGGAAAATGAAAAAAAAATTACAAAGTCTTTCTTAAATGCAATTCAAGGTTTAAGTTACAACAGGGTTAAACAAAATCTCACAGAAAACAAAACCGAATGAATACCTACCGCGAATACCTCGAAATGTGACTAAATTGATCAACTAATGCGACTATCAGTCGGGACTAAATCTTCTTGGTCTTTTTCTTCTTAATGGCATTGATCTGGTCGGCCATCTGCTCGATCTCGCGCTGGTTGATCGGTTCGTTCTTGCGCACCTGCGCCTTGCTCTTCTGTCGCTGGGCGAGATCGGCGGCCACATCGTTCAATTTGCTCCACACGAAGCTGAGGAAGTTGGTGGCCAAATCCTGCTTGAAGAAGGCAATGGCCACTAGGCCGATAAGGACCAGAGCAGAGATGGAGTTTTGGTTAAGATCGGCTTCAGCGGCGCGCACCTCCGGCTTAAATTCCAGGTGGATGAAAACGGAACCCCGATCAGCCACAAATGTAGACGATGGCAGCTTGTAGGTGTATGTTTTATCAGACAGTGTGGACTGCAGCTCTACCACGTAGCTCTTGCCGTCCAGAGGAATGCGAGGGAAGTAAACGGTGATGCCCGGATTCAGTCTGGCTTTAGGATTCACTGGAGTGCCCACCCGCTGTGAGAATACCGGGGAATCGGAGTTTCCTTTGCGGTACATCACAATGCGCAGGGTCTTATAGTGGTCGTTAAGAGTGGCTGTCACCCTGGCGGTGATGTCCACAATCTTCAGGGGGCTAATAGCCACCAGGTTTATGTCGCGCACATCCTCGCTGCCCACCTTCACCGTGTGCTGGGCGGGAATGGATCGCTCAACGTTTTCCTTGTCGGGCACCACACGAACGGAATAACTGCAGCCAGGCTGAAGACCGCGGATGCGGTACTGTCCATTCGCCTCGCTGGTGGCCTCTTCTTGCTGCTGGGGGCAGCCCTCCTCGGCGGTGGCCTGCACATTCACGCCGGCAAAGGGATCACCGTTTAATGAAGTCACTGAGCCAAAGATGGAGTAAGCATAGCGTTTGCCACTGCAAAATTAAGGAGGAGCATTACAAGATTTGCTAAAGAACTACGGGTTACTTGTACTTACGTAAGGGTTACAGTAACAGTCTCGCCGTCTTTAATCTCAATCATCTTGGAGTTGGGCTCGAAT